ATCCAACATTCAAGGACTAAGCACATTGATATTAGACATCACTTAATTATAGACCATGTGACAAAGGGGGACATTGAGTTACACCATGTGACAACTGAGAATCAACTAGCTGAATCTTTACTAAACCACTGGAATTCGACACTTTCAACTCTTTAAGGATCAGATTGGGTGTGATTGACATAAATGCATGAACTTGATTTTTATTTGCTTTTCTTTTTCATTCTTTTTCTTTGCTTTTCTTCTTCTTTCTTCTTCTCTTCTTCATTTATTGCTTTATGTTTTTGTTTGTTGCTTTGTTTTTTATGTCTTTTCAATCATCGCTGAAATGATATCGTATGTCTTATTTTTGCTTTTAAAAATTTGTAGTCAATGTTTTATATCTCTTAATCCATTAAAGGATAAAAATATACCGTTGATTGTGTCTCTTTCTCTAACATATTTTAGTGGCACAGTTTTCTTTTCTAATCAATGTTCTATCTCAAATTAACAAATGGAGTATGCAATTAAGATCTTTTCTAACCTTGCTACAGCAAATCTATCTTGTATGTATAATGATCAAAAGTTTTTTTGTCACATCAAGAATTCCTCGTCTCTTGTCATTACATTTATTCATACGATTATTGATTCTGTTTTGTGGATTGTTCTTCACTATATTAGAGAGTGAGTTCTTCTTCTCTAATATCTAGAAGATATACTCACAACTAAGATTATTTAAGAGTTTTTTTTGAAAGAGAATGTAGCTTGCAAAAATAAAAAAAAAGTGGCCAATGATACCAAAATCAAAATATGCTCAATGACGCCAAATTGAAAACAAATATATACATAAAGTGTATCAAAAAGAAGCGCAAAGCGCCATTCAAATTGATAAGAGACATAAAATGAGCCCACCAAAAGCAAGCTCTCCTCTCCTTTCAAAAAAAAACTTTTAAAACTTGGAAGAATTCATATATCACTTGATAAAATCAAAGGCTTGATTTTGACTTTTTGCGATTGTGATATAATTACTTTGATACATTATTCTACAAGATATTTTTTTGAAATCAAGTGGTGAACATATCCTTTTTCATATCCAATTGAATTTTTTACGTTAGGTCATTTATTTCAAAAGAGTATTTTACCCTGAAAGAAGTCCGAACTTAGGGATTAACATGATCGGATATTCTACCATTTTTTAGATTTTTGATGTTGTTAAATCATTAACTTATAAATTTTTAAAATCAATCACATGGAAGACTACATCATGTTCATGCCTTGGTTAAAAAAATATTAGGGTTGTTTACTTTATTTTTTAGTTTCCTCCGCCTTTTTGAGATGTCAAAAGGGGGAGTAATATGTTGGTGTTTGCACTGTTTTATTTTTAACTGGTTTATTCTGAAAAATGTGAACTACTGTTTCTAATCGGGTTCAAAACAGAAATCCTGATCAGGACATAATGTTAAGGCAGTCGTCATTAGCCGATCGGCCTGGACGATACATGTATCGGCCAGGACGATAGACTCAAAACAGAAAGAATCAGACGCCATGATCTATTTAGGCATTATTTATTTTTGAAAATCGGTTAGGATGATCGTGTATCGGCTTAGACAATTTGATACAATTATGCCTAAATTGATCAGGCAATTAAGGAAAGTAATTAATATGATTGATACAATCACATCGTCCTAGACGATCTCAAGATCGACCGGGATGATCCGTTCAAAAACCTTAAGTCGCTCATGGACGATCAATATCAGATAGCTTATATTCCGGGCAATGGTCTGCACAATTAGGATCGGCCAGCTCAAATTCCGGGCGATGCTCTGGACGATTTCCTCTAATTTAAACTAATCGACTGGGACGATCGTGAGATCGGCCCAAACGATCAAGCTATTTTGGAATCATCCAGAACTCTTTTCAGAGTGATTGTATGGCCGATAGTCTGTGATTTGAATTAATCATACAGAACGATTCATGATTGTCCTGGACGATAGGAACTACTTTCTTCTATTCGTTCCAGATCGTGCCGGCTGATTAAGCTTAAATTGCACTGATCGTACAAGACGATATTACTATCGTCCTGGACGATATTGTTGGCAACTTGCAATTAATGAGTTATTTTGAAGCTCTTCTATTTAAGTGCTATTGTTCAACGTTTTGAACAATCTTTTGCTGCTGTCTTGACCTAAGAAAGCCTAGAGGAGAGCCTAGAGGAGAGAGAGAGAGAGAGAGAGAGAGAGAGAGAGAGAGAGAGAGAGAGAGAGAGAGAGAGGGAGAGAGAGAGAGGATCTTTTGAGGGAGAGCTTGTGAGGGAGATTTACAAGGATTACTCCAAGCATCATTCCACTTCTTCTTCCACTAAAGTCTCTTGTCCTTAGAAGGGTTGGGAGAGGTAAGCTTCAGCGATTGATCAAGGTTCTCTACCTACTTCAGGAGGAAGCAAAAGGAGTTGGGTTCTCTGCCTTGCCGGGGGTGGAAAAAAGAAGGTTTTTGTAAGGGCTTCTCTGCCTTGCTGTGGGAGCAAAAGGAGAGTCACTTTGGTAGTGCAATACTCGGAGGGCGCCTCCAGGGAGTGGACGTAGGTTGAGTTGACCGAACCACTATAAACCCTTGTGTTCTTTTTCTTGCTTCCGCACTTATTTTTCATGTGGTGATTTTAGTTTAAGCTTTGTTGGTTTTTGGTTTAAATATTTTTTAAAAAATACCAATTCACCCCCCTTTTGGTTAGCCTTGAGCTAGTTCATAAGGGCCTAACATCCCTAACAAACTTTCAAGCATGATGAACCACTTATGGCTACTTCCTCCAAGTAGTCACCCTTCTTGGTAGAGGATAACTCAGAAGTTCCTTTTTAAATTAGACAAATCCTTATTCATCTCAACTTAAAGTCAAATCTGTTATGTGATACCTATAAAAAACCAAGGTAAATGTATACATCTCATCCACAAGACATTTCTCATGATAAAATCATCGCCGAGGTCATATATCACTGTCAAAGCATCACTCACCCCTTCTTGCTCCAATAGCAGCGATCTCTTTCCAACATCCTACCTCACACCATCTTGACCTCTCGATGCTCAAAAGTATATCACATCTACATCATCTCCCACAAAATCGCCACACCACTCGGCATAGCTGGCCGAGCTATATTAAAGAGTGATAATAAAATAACTGTACCCCATATACATTATGTAGTAACTCTCCAAGACCTAAAAATAGAATGAGGGGGGATACAAGAAGAACAAAATGAAAGTACCCTGAAAGAATAAACAATAATGAAGACCACAACAAAATAGAGAGATAAAAAGAGATGTTATTTTTATAGTTTAGATTAATCTCTGTAGAATAGAGCTTTTGCCTCCTCTCATCGTTGAACTTTTTGGTTGAAATAATAAAGATTTTGTCTAGATCCACCCTCTCTCTTTCCCTCCTTTTCGCCTTCATCATTCTCACACACATGTTAGTTCTTAAAGTACAGTCTAGCATTATTCATCGAATAAATTTGAATTAAGTAATATTAGTCTTTTTTAAATCTTACTCTTTTAAAAAGTTATCCAAATTTTGTGTGCATTAATGAAATAGTCAAACCTTAGTTCATTATACTAACATTAACTATAATAAGTGTTAAATCTTGTAATGTAGGAGTTATCTATATGTTCTTTATATAAATATTTATTTCCCTTTTTAGTTTACATTGAACATAAAGATTTCACTCATTTACTCAATTCAACCACATCACATAAATTTACGATCATCTTTATTCAATGTTTTAGTACTAGCACATCCTAAAGATATCATCATTTTCATCAATTTTTTGTATCATTGGTAAGTGTTAGAGTGATTGGTCTTACATCAAGCTTATTCACTATCACCTATTATATCCATTTAGAATTTATTGCCCATTAATATAATATGCAAATAAATTCATTCTATCACAATTAACACAAATGAAAGAATGGTTTGATTTAGAAATCTCTCCAAAGAAAAAAAAAAAACATATTATATTTATAACTATTTCTTTTGAAGAGTTTGATAATATGAGTTTTAGGTCACTAAAATGACTCACTACCTCTATCTTCAAGTAAAATTAGTTTTTAACAATATTTAAACTGCATATAAAAGATTTATAAGATGTTTATTAGGAGTGTCAATATTTGACACGACACGAAAATTCGACCCAGAAAATTCGGGTTTGACCTAACCCGATTTCAAAATGGGTCGGGTTTGGGCCCTCGGATTCGACCCGTTTGAAAAAATGGGTCGGGTTGACCCGGCGGGTTGCCGGGTCAACCCACAAATCTTTTCGACCCATTTGAGCTCGGGTTAGTTCGGGTTCGACCCGAACCCGACCCGTGACCCGAAATTGACACCCCTAATATTTATGAGATATTCAAGTGTGATATTTATTAGAATAATCAATATTTGTCTAATTTTTCAATGAACTTCTACCATACTTGAATGTGTTATTTATATTCTTCTCTATATAACTAATTTGGTGATGGTCGGTGATCAATATGGATGACGATTGTCAACAATGGTGATGGACGGCAATGCTAGTTGTAGGTAGTTTGCAATAGTTGGGGGAGATAGTGGTGGCAAACATTAACTGATATTGAAAATAAAGTCAACTTACAATGTATTTAAAAATAAAAAAAATGAACAGGATTTTAAATAAATAAAAAAATATATCATGAAATAAATTTTAAATTCTTTCAAATTTATTTTATATATTTTTTAAAACAAAAAGGTATTTACCCGAAGACAAAAAGGTTCCTTAGTTTCCCCGTTCGACCTGACTTGTAGCGGTCTGGAAATCGCCAGCGCAAGACATTGCACCGTATATAATAAAGAGGTCAAAGTGGTGCGGTTTGAGCATACCCACCACAGGTGCGGGGAAATCAAGGTCACACCTAACAAGGAGGAGGAGTGAACCTCAGCCACACAATAGGGCGGACCCACTTGGAAGCCTGTGGCCTTCGACGGACTCAATCGCTCTCAACAAATCCAAATCAGGTTACCCACGAGTACAGACCTCACCCTCTGCTGCCTTCCGCCCGTGAAATCACGCCACGCTACCCGCATATTTCTCTCGCACGAGCATCTGGTCTGTAACCTTCCCTCTCCCTCCTCTCAATCCACTCGGAGGCAAGCAATTTTGAAACGACGCTGCCGTAACTCATCATTCGTCTTGTCGTAGCTGGCGGTTCTTGCTGATTCTGCTGTGCATATCGGCTGTGACGGCGTTGGCTGATTCGAGGGGGCGGCGGAGATCGGGAATGGGCCCGGAAAGTATGCTGTGAGAGGGAGATGAGTGGGTGGAGAAGATGCGGATAATCTGCGATGTCTGCGAGAGTGCTCCAGCTGTTCTCTTCTGCTCAGCGGACGAGGCTGCCCTTTGTCGTCCCTGCGATGATAAGGTAACCTCTTTTTGCTTCTCATCTTTTTCCATCATTGGTCAATTTTGAATTCATTTTTTTCGTGGATTTTTGTAATCTCTTGTTTTTTTTTTTTGATTCCTGTGTGAGATTGGGACGAGACAGTTAACTTGATATGCAATATTTTTTGAGCCCCTTTTGCTGTGGATTATATTGTTTTAATTTTCTTGGCTGTTCGTTCAAGAACTCCTGGGTTGTAATACTTAATGACATAAATCTGAAATCGATAACTGCTTGAGAGCTGCTATAGTTTATCTAGCATTTCGATTATTGTGGATTTGTTTCAAAAGATTCCCCCTCGCTCCAATATATTTAAGGGCCATTTCTACCATGCTGCAGAGATTGACATATTTTTCGCCAAACATTGGAGTTATGACTTACTTTTAGGGAGACTTGCTGGAGGAACGCTTAGCTACCCTCGTATGCGATGTCTTTCCTCTGATTATAAAATCTACCCTTCTTTGTGGGTTGTGTTCTGGCTATTGCTCTTTCAGTGCTTTCAAAGCTTAAGTTACTTTGAGCATTCTTCATTATCGTCTTGTCGTCCTTAGTAAGGTTGAACCTGAATTTTAGGCGCACACAGTATAGGAGTCAACAATTTTTTTTTAAACATGGAGAAACTTGAAGGGAGCAACTATGAGTCCTGATATAGATGAGGAACTCATACTATCCTGGTGAAGAGCAATTTTTCTCACAAAGGTGCTTACAATAGGTAACAATAGCAGGCATCAACACCCGTAGGTGGCAGCATCTTTGGGAAATGACAACAACACATTGTTGGGTGACACCGCAAAACTTTAGCATTAAATATCAACAAGTCGTCATGTGGCACTCCCAATTGTCAACAGTGAACATGCGGTTGGGTGTCGTCATGGTTCCAAAACTTAAGAGTTTCTTGCTCATGGAAAACATATTATACGCTTGACCAACGTTAATTTGGATATATCCACTTCAAATTTGATGTTTATCTATAATGAACAATGGATTGCTGGAATTCTATCATAAAATTTTGTGCAAACTTGGATTGGACGAATATATCCATGAGCAGACTTGGTTAGCTTGTCATAGGTGTCATCATTTGCACTCTCTCCAAATAAACGATCTAAATATTCCAAAAACAATGAGCTATACTGCATTAGTGCTCTTTTCTGCCATGCGTAGTTACTTAATTGTAGTTCTTTTTCTTCCGTGATGTTTAATTTTGTTGCTATTGTATCCTCTTGGCTCTTTGCAAACCCCATCAGCGAAGTTCTTCTATTGCATTCCTGACTTTCTACAGCACCCACGATCCTTAATCCCGGCAAGCACCCAAAAAAAAAAAAATTATATGGATGCTAAAATTTTTAGTTTCTACCGGGAAACCTAAACTTTCTTAACGGTTAGCAATTGCAGCATGCCGTTCTGCTTTGCCTACAAAATAGAAATGTTTCGGAAGATTATACTGATATTTTCTTTTTATATTTTATTTTTATAATGTCACAATCTCTATCAATAATCCAGTAATGCTGAATATCCCTTAATTTATATCCAAACTTGCTTTCTTAAAGTTCAACCAAGAGGCTTTTCCCTCCAGTTGGCTTTTTTGGATCTAGCACTAACTGTGCTTTCTTTCTGTTGGTGAAACCGATCAACCCAGCTCCTAAACATGCCTCAGCTCTCAACTTCCACCATTGTGGGACTACTCCAAAGCTTGCAACAGGAGCAAATTTAAGTTGAAACACAGCCCACGCTTGGGAACACATTCCTGCTATTACTAAGCACACATATTGCTACATTTATTGAAATCAAAGATCAATGTACTGCTTGCTATGCTTTTTCCCCCCTTGAAGTTGAATCTAAATATCATTCTGGAGAAGTTAACTATTCCCTTGAAATACCCATGCGACCCACAGAAGCTATATAAAAAAATGAATTATTCTGATTTGGATGATGACCCTCATGACTCATTTCTTTTTGTGATATTACTTGTTCTCCATATTATGGTGTATTCACATTCATTCTCATAGATCAACTTATATAAATCCAAATTATGAAAGCTATGTTATGTTTGTTAGACAATAATATCATTACAAATTATATTGTAAGAATGTCTCCTACCCCACTTTCAGAAGCTCCACCCACCACATTAGCTACACTGCACCTATCCCCTGAGATCTATATACTTATGCAAATGATGTTTTGACCAATCCCTTGAGCATGAGCTTGAGATTGACTGAGCGCCTGAGCCCGATTATAACCCAATGTTTGAACCTGAGCATGAGGTCATAATAGAGTATGATATTGAATCATAGTATCACACTCCAACCCAATGTTTAAAATTGTGCAATTAGGTATTAAGCTATGATGCACGGACGCGGCGACACGGACACGACATGACACGACACGGACACGGGACACATCTTTTTTTGAAAATATAGGACACGGGTACGGCGCGGACACGACAATATATTTTTTTATATAGTGTATATATATTAATGTAATATCATATTAAAAATGACAAACAATGATAAATGAATGACATGATAACTTGTCCAGCTTATAATATAAAATATTTAGTACAAAATATCTAGTACAACCACAAAAATATAAGCAAATAATCACTTACTACAACATCAAGCATTCAAGCTTCAATTACTAGGATTAGCTTTCGAGGTTTGTTTTTGGCCTTAAATATCATCATCATTGAATATCAGTGCTTCAACTCTAATTTAACAAGAGAAATATTTGTAATTGTGCAAAAAGAGAGGAGATGAAAATACCTTCACTGCCAAAGAGAAATGAAAATGAGAATATTTGATGAATGAGTATTAAATGCAGACGTTGATTTGGTGTTGTGGATAAGAAATAAGAAATTTAGTTTAAATCTTGCCAAATATAAGAAATTATATTTTAAAAAAATTATAAAATATTTAAGATATGCATGTCGGACACGCGTGTCCAATTTGTTTTTAATATTTTTTTTTATCGGACACGTTTTCTGCGTGTCCGACACGTGTCGGAGGAGTGTCGGACGAGTGTCGTGTCGGACACGGTGTCGGACACTGCACGCCCCTTTAAGGAGAAGTGTCGGTGCATCATAGGTATTAAGGCATTTTTTATCCATGAGGCGAGCCATATGCCTCAAGCTTTTTGAGGTGTAAGTATCATAATCCAAAAATTGCATAAAGTGAAAATTAATGTTAGAACTAATTTTTTTTATAATAACTAAATAATATATCAAAATTGGATTGAATTATGAAGTAACATGGAATTAAAAATTATGCAACACATAAAGTAACACATGATTAATTTTGTGAAATTGAATTGAAATGCAAACATCACAATAGCAAAATAAGATAAAATATTAAAATTATACAAGTGCATCATATAACATCAAGGTTAACTCCCAATTTTTTTCTTTTCCAATGCTCTTCTCATTCATATTTAATTTTTTTTAAAAATAGTAATAATATGACAACAACTTAAAAGTCATTTGCACTGTCATCATTGAGGAGGTTTTCATTTAAGTCATTGTGATAATGAATTGCTTGCTCATCATCTATGGAGTCCAATGTCTCCAAATTTCCTTCTTTTTTATTAATTTAAGTCATCTTCCTCTTTCTTAAACGTATCATTAATATAAAGATTAGAGTAATAATTCAATTAAATGATGTTTAAATTTTTTTTTTTTTAAATTTAAATTTTTTCTGTTGATGGCTTGTGGTGAATGTAAATGCTTTAAATCTATCACTGTAAAAAAATTAATGTCCAAATCTTCTTCTTATAATTCAAATGGTGTTATCTCCACTTTATCATCTAATACCATTTCCTCACAAAACAAATGATCCTCGTTATCTTTCAACCCCTTATTCTTTAAATTTCTATTTTTTAATCTGTTGATGGCTTGTGGTGAATGTAAATGCTTTAAATCTATCACTGTAAAAAAATTAATGTCCAAGTCTTCTTCTTATAATTCAAATGGTGTTATCTCAACTTTATCATCTAATACCATTTCCTCACAAAACAAATGATCCTCGTTATCTTGCTTATTCTTTAAATTTCTATTTTTTAATCTGTTGTTGTACATAATGTAAGGGAAAGAGTTCTCAAAATATTTCTCCTCTTCATGTGCATTTGATTATGTGTGCTTTAGTTGCATTCACATCCAATTGAATAGTATGCTGTTTTTAATATCTTTATAGCAAAATGCTGTAGTTCTAGAGTGCCATCATCGAATTTAATCCATCACTCAATTGAAGACTTAAAGTATAAGAAAATGACTATAATAAGTAAAATTAATCTTTTTTATAGATAATTTTTTCGCCAATAAAAGAAAAAAATCAAATTATCTTGATATCGATGTGAAAATGTATTGTTTGTCTACTGTAGTTCATAAAAGCCTTCTGTATTCATGAGAAGTATAAGTTGCATGCTAATATTTGCCCTCTTAAATGAATCTGTTGTAAGTCTATTCATATAATGGTATAATCTTAATATTATCATAGTATTTATTCACTTATTTTCAGCATATTGAAACTGAGGATTCAGATAGTGGTCTACTGCATGTAAGTCACTTGTGCTTCCAATGTGGATTATTGGACATAGACCAAATTAGTGCCTGACATCACTGCAACAACAAGACCATCGCAAGTATCATCCACCAAGTATGTCCAATGACAAACACGATAAGATGCCTAATTGAAGTTCTTGGCTGATGGCTTTATTGATGGATTGCAACAGCTCGCCTATGCGGACCTCTCGGCCAACTTTTATGCAAATTCATAGCAGCCCTCACGTGGAACATTATGGATCTAATAAGCCTCCATTTATCCCCAGCATGAGAATGAGAATTTCAAATGGGCCTGGAATGGATGCGTACGCACTCTTTGAATCTTTGGGAGGATGAAGGAAGCATCACACATTGTTAATATAATTGTCTGAATTTCACATATATAGAAAATCACCTCTTTCATCCAAAGTGTGAATTTAGAATGACATGAACG